GTAAGTTTTAAAATTACACCACTATTTTCTAAGCAGTTGTTTTACTTTCATTTCTTAGCCAAAAAAAAATCCAAATTTGTTTTAAATGTACCTACACAATCTCATTGACTTGTCAGGCTAGTTTTACCTTCACTAGATTAACAAACCCAAGTCAAACAGGAAAGTCAGTTGTAAGGTTAAAATAGATTTAACTTTAAAGCTTTATGTTACTATTCGGTAGTTTTAGTACACACCAAGAAACAAACCTCTAAAATCTAGAAAACAAGTTGAAACTTTATAACTAAGAATAAAGTGCACTGTAAGTATCCACTGGATTTAGGTGGTAGTTTATTTTTTAATAAATGTCGGTTGTTTAAATATTTTTCAGTTGTCTTGTTTTATTAAATTTAGCATTTTACTATTATCTACATTATTTTACATCACTAAAACTTTTTACCCCACAAAAAAATGGCATTACACACAGGGTTAATAAAATGGTTTACTTGATTGTAGACCTGGGGTAGAGCAAAAGATTCATGTGTATAGGACAACTCGGCTCGTAGGGTTTATAAAGGCTTGTTGGACATAGGAATGAGTCCCTTCATTTGCTGAGGTCATAGAAACGGTGAAACTTTTTCATCTGCTATATTAACTATGGGCTCCAATATCATTTCACCCCATAACTATAGCTAATTGGCTCAACGACCAGCACACGTAAACAAAATTACCTACTTAACTTGTATAATTTTGTCCCCTCATAATTATAAAATGTACCTACTTTAATTAATTTAATTATTGTGTCTTAAGTATAACATTTACCTAATTAAATAAAATAATTGTCCCCACAAATATATAAATGTACCTCTTTAAATTATTAAATTATTTCCTTTTGTCACACATATAAAATGTACCTAGTTAAATTATATCACTGTCCCCACAAATATAAAATTTACCTACTTAAATTATATTATTTAGTCCCCACAGCTATAAAATGTACCTAGTTAAATTATATCACTGTCTCAACAAACATAAAATTTACCTACTTAAATTATATTATTTAGTCCCCACAACTAAAAATGTACTTAGTTTAATTAAATCACTATCCCCACAAATATAAAAATGTGCCTACTTAAATTCCATTTATCAATACAGATACAAAATTATACCCCAACATTTATTAAATTTAAATTCAACAAAGCTTTAAATTCATCCTACTTCAGCTTGAATAAAGGTTCTTATTTTTAAATTGGCCCTATTAATGAAATCATCAGGAAGAAGGGTGTTATATTGTCTTACTTAACCTACAGAGACACGACACACTACTCAATAGTAGTAGCAAAAAAATGTAGAAAGGTTGAAGATACTTAAGAAAAAATATATTTAGTTAAAAAACAGTTTTTTTTTAATATTTAAAACAACAGTGTATTTATTCAATTCACAGTTATAAATCATAAACTACTACTATTTGTAATTTAACATGAATTTCAATATTCAAGTTTTAAAATAAAGTATCAACATTCTACAAAGTAAAATCGGTTTTTAGAAAAAAAAATTAAATAATGAATACTGAAAAACATTACAAAAAGTATATTTATGATTACTTCTTTTATGGATTCTCAATATAGTTAATCTACAACTTTTCATTCTTTAGAAATTTGTGTACTTTTTAACAGATTAAAGTATATAAGTTATTACACTTAAGTGTCATACAAATCAGTAGATAATTTACATTTCTTTTTTCTTTAATTCAGGTAAGCCAAACCATTATTTAAAATATCATACTAAAATTAAGTAACTATCTACTAGAATTGTAAGTCATATTACTGTTATAGACATTGGAATCTGCCCATCTCTTCACAAAAATGATACTATAGAAAAATCATATTTTACTTATGCTTTCGAATAAACTTCAACCTTTAAGCTTAACCTTTAAAGAGAAACAGTTTATAAAAGCTGCATCTTAGGTAATAAAAAATCTGAATGAAAATTTATACAACTGAATTACATTTTGTTACTCAACAGTTCAAATAATCAAAACCCTATAAATACAAAGAAGGGGGAGAAAAACATTACCATTCTTATTTCATCTCCCACATTTTTAAACCAATGAATGCCATTATCTTATCCCATGAAATGTATCTATTGTATGTAAAAGCCTCATAGATTAGATTGATTGCTAAGTGCTCTCCTTCCTCCTCCCTCCCTTTCCCCCCCCCCCCCCCCCCAACCAAGGCCCTCCAGACAAACAACTAGATGAACATTTAAATGCACAGTGACTGCCCCTAAAATAAGAGCATGAAAAAACTGACTCAAAATCTAGTGCACCAGGTGGGTAGGACAGGACAAGAACTTGCACACACACACACACACACACAGGGGAGGGAGGGGAGGTAAAGGAGAAAGGAGGGGAGAGAATACATTAAAGAAGAAAGAGACTTATGCTTGTGTAAACATTATGAACCATGAAATTTAATGCCCTTGATGTTTCAAAGGATGTAGGAGAAACAGAAACTGTTACTTATACTGGTGAATTTATGATTAGGCCTAGTACAATGTATGGTTTTTTTAAATTTCTCAGCTCAATTTTTTTTTTTTAAACTGTTAGTTAAAATGTAGGATTTACAGAATGAAAGGTTTTTAAACAGTTAACTGTGTAAAACTAGAAGCAGTAAAATATGTGTGGGTTTAGATCAATAAAACGTGTCCTCTAACTTTATCTTGCCAGCTGTTAGAAGTATAGCTGCATGCTAGGATAAGCAGTGGCTGACTAAGCACAACTTATTTCAAAATTTGCGCCACACTTGTGAAGGCTGACATAAGCGGGTCATGGATTGGCTAGACAAGCCAGACACAGTATGCCATTGGGTGGTAGAGTTTATACGCATGCGCAGGTGTTTCAATAGGGCTGCCCGCTGGTGATCTGGTTGCATGTCTGTGTGTGTATCTGTGAGTTACGCGTGGGTTTTGTGTGTGCATTTGCATAGTGTGTGATATGCATGTGTTCTAATAGGCTTGAGGTAACAATTATTTTTTTTATACTTGTGTTATGGTAGAGTATTCTACTAATGTTAGGTTTGTTCTGTGTAGTTTAGGTGTATACTTTTTAAACAGTCTTAATCATCTGGAAGACTATTATACTTTGTAGAAAAAAATGTTTTAGTATTTTACTATGAAAATATAAACAACTTAAAAGTTGTGTATACAAGCATTGACCTCATTAGTTTTTTTTTTTATTTTAATTTTTTTTTTTAATTTTGATTTGAACTTTTTCATTTTGTGATCAATAAGCAGGCCTAGTACAAGCAGTTTAGAATATTTGGCAATTTTTGTTTTGTTTTAAAAACAATTATTTGGTCGTTATATGCAAACATGAATGATACAACTTAGCAGTTTCACATATGGTATTCCTATTATTATTATTTTTTTTAAATATTTTTATTTTCACTTTTTTTATATAACTGGTGTTGTGTGCAGTTTGTAACAAACTTATTAATTTGCAACTGTTGCTACACTAGACTTTAAATAACTCCATTTTCTGGTTAAGAAAAGCTGTTACATTTTATCAATATTTGACCACACAAGTAAGTAATATCTCGGGTATACAGTAACATTTTAATCTACGAAAATTCAAAATCAAGGAAGTCCCATAAAATTAACTTTTAAATAAAAAAAAATCAAAATGTAAGTCAAATTCCCAGACAAACAGATAACACATGATGGGTAACCCTAGGAGATTGGAGTTCTAAATGTGTCGCCTTTGTTTAAAGCAGCACTATAGTTTACAGCACTAGATAACCTGTTTTACTTCCCTACAATTTTTTTTTTTTACTTCCTGAGCCTAATGATGTTACCATTTGTTTTAACTTTCCTGTCACTACTTAATGTGTACACACTGAACACACTTGACCCAGATAACAGACAGGCAGTGTCACTTAAGGACGTGAGTCACCCATTAACCTTGTAGAACACATGGCTGAAACAGTGAGGTTGCACACACACACACAGATAACTGGACCACTAAATATACTGGTACTACACACCACAATACTGGCTCTATGGGACGAAGTAAAAGTGAAACAGTGAAGGCAGTTATGTGAAGCACACCACTAGATAGCCAGAACTAAAACACTACAGCACCCCACTAGATAGCCAGAACTAAAGGAATAATGTGCAGCACACCACTAGATAGCCAGAACTAAAAGACTACAGCACCCCACTAGATAGCCAGAACTAAAGGAATAATGTGCAGCACACCACTAGATAGCCAGAACTAAAAGACTACAGCACCCCACTAGATAGCCAGAACTAAAGGAATAATGTGCAGCACACCACTAGATAGCCAGAACTAAAAGACTACAGCACCCCACTAGATAGCCAGAACTAAAACACTACAGCACCCCACTAGATAGCCAGAACTAAAAGACTAAGTAAAGTAGTAAATGTAATTATGTGAAGCACTAGGAACCCCCACAAGATATATGAGAACTAGAGACCAAATTACTGGCTCTAAAAGACTAAGTAAAGCAGTAAATTTAATTATGTGTAGAACATGGAGTCCCACGAGATATACTAGTGATACTAATCACAATACTAGCCAGCAGTATTTTAATTTGTCCAGCGCGTATGTTGTAATTAGATATCTATTTACAAGTTCGATCCTTGAGCAACGAAGTTTAAATAAATTTATATTTCGTTTTTCATTTTTGAAGAGAAATATTTAATGATTTTATTCTACAATAACTAGATTGTCTGAATATTAGATTTTAGAGGGGTGAAACTTATGGTATCTAGAATAAAATGTAGGCTACTCTGAAACTATTAGGTGTTTGTATAAGATTTTGAAAATGCGATCTGCAATTTTTGATAATGCTTGAAAATGTAAAATGGCATATTAAATAATTAAATTTAAAAATTAATGAAGTTATTCATTACAAAACATTTTGTGACTACGATTTTACACAGTAAGCATTATCAAAAAGATCATTTTTTGTTTTCTAATTGTACGTACATAATTTTCTGTACAGTTTTCTAACTTCGGTTGTTGTCTTCTTGTTGTGTAGATGTTTCAACTCCTGTCACAGTAAATTAACATATTTATTTTAACAGGCCACAGTTTAAAAATATACTAAAATATTTACATAATAAAAATTGTATACTAGAAAAGTAATAAAAATGTTTGTAAACCATTGAGCTGATTTGTTGCTTTTTTTGTTTCTTTCAGAAGTTTCCACTCCAACCAGACATTGGACATAGCAGTGTTTTCTGTGACTATACTGTCTGCTGTGGCTTACACTTGTTACCTTCAGCTCACAGGAGAACTTCTGGAAAAACAAAGGGGGAGCAGTATGCAGTTGGAACAAGATGAGGTAAGCATTAAAAGTTTCAAGTCTGGTCAAATAATTTCTTGAGTTACTTCCCTTTAACCCCCACATTTGTTCCTTGTCTCTGACACACCAAACCAGCCCTTACAGTCTGATAATTTTATTTTTAGACACTTAAAACACAGCTACAAATGAAAAATAACCCAAACCCTTTAAAACACATTAATTTATTTAACTGACAGTAATGCTTAGGTCTTTCAAATCCTGTTTGTAGAATAAAAATAGTTTTAATCTAGATCTACAGTAGGAAACCCATTTTATTTTTAAAGTGTGTTGTTATAAATCCCACATGAATAGGATATGACAACAAGGACAAGACATAAATAATCCCTTCATTCTTACTGCCACGGTTACCATACAAATCCTAGAGTATTTTTTTACTCTGCAAAAGTTGATTTCTAAACCAGCTCCTGGAATCAACAAGAATAAAAATGATTAGCCACACACTTGACATTTAGAAAGAGACAACACACAAACACTATATAAATTATTCTGACAATTCAAATACCCTTAGTGGAACACAATTTAACAGCTTTTTGTTAATTAATCAGCAGTAATAATAGTGCACCAACACAATGATTAATTACACACACAAAAAAGTTAAAATATTACCTCAACTAAGGACAATAGACCATTGTTCTCTATATTTAATTTGAAGTTGATACATCCTGCATTTAAAACAAGAAAATTAATTAGCATTTTCAGATTTTAAATATTCAAGTTTTGAATTTAAAATCCTTTCTGCTTTTATAATATCATTAAGTTAATAGAAAAAAAAAAACGGAAAAATATTATCATTGGCTCATTTTTAAGCATAAGCTTAATACTTGTATGAGATAGGAAAACTACTAGATCTAAATGGTATTCTAAATCAGTATAATTTTCTTTCAAGTGAAATGGTTGAAAGAGCATGAGGAAAGTGGATGTCAGTGAAAACAATATTTATGTGATCTCTAAAGAATGAAAGTGGATGTCAGTGAAAACAATGTTTATGTGATCTCTAAAGAATGAAAGTGGATGTCAGTGAAAACAGTGTTTATGTGATCTCTAAAGAATGAAAGTGGATGTCAGTGAAAACAATGTTTATGTGATCTCTAAAGAATGAAAGTGGATGTCAGTGAAAACAATGTTTATGAGATCTCTAGCTGATCTAAAGCTTGGCTGGTTACCCTGGCATAGACAGGATAATTAGATGGCAAGATACAAGTGACATGAGTGCTGCAGTTTTTTTCTGTTACACAACACAACAGGCAGGTAGCTGGCCTAGGGATGGTGTGGACACAGGTGTGGGTTTACCAGATATTTGGGTGGGGGAGGGGGGAGGGATTAAGAATGGAAATGTTGTAGGATTGGCCAACATTGAGGAAGTGGAGGTTAATTCAGGATGTGCACATTAAACAATATTAAGGCAATTGATACAAGACTAGAATGGCTTCCTTTGTTCACTTGATTTATTAATAGAATTCAAACAAGAACGATTGATTAAAATCTTTTTCAAGGTAATCTGTTATAGTATCGAAGGCTTTTGGTAGCAACATTATTTATTCGTTGTTTTTTTTTTTAGTTGTATAGGAGTTAATAGATAGAGATTAAGATAGAAACTTTAAAGTCAGGAGCTAGGTTAGAAAATATAATGTTTCAACATAAACTACAACTCTTTTTCTACTGAAACTTGTTTTACTTGTGGGCTAGAGTGTGAGTGTATGTTTATCTGAATGTGGAGTGAGGGGTCTGAACTTAGGTTTAATGTGTAGCATAGTGATTGCACTCTCTGCTAGTGACACTCCATCTCTATCCTAGTAATCCCACTCTATCCTGGTTACACACTGCCCCCACACACACCACCCCACACACACCACCCCACACACACTAGCCCTACACACACTATCCTAGTGCTCCTACTATCCTATTTACACACCACACTCATACACACTATCTTAGTGCTCCTACTATCCTGGTTACACACCACCCCCACACACACTATCCTAGTGCTCCTACTATCCAGGTTACACACCACCCCCACCCACACTATCCTAGTGCTCCTACTATCCTGGTTACACACCACCCCCACACACACTATCCTAGTGCTCCTACTATCCAGGTTACACACCACCCCCACCCACACTATCCTAGTGCTCCTACTATCCTGGTTACACACCACCCCCACACACACTATCCTAGTGCTCCTACTATCCAGGTTACACACCACCCCCACCCACACTATCCTAGTGCTCCTACTATCCTGGTTACACACCACCCCCACACACACTATCCTAGTGCTCCTACTATCCTGGTTACACACCACCCCCACACACACTATCCTAGTGTTCCTATCCAGGTTACACACCACCCCCACCCACACTATCCTAGTGCTCCTACTATCCTAGTGACCTTTCTCTATCCTAGTGACCCCCCCCCCCAGCTCAGGTCTACAACAAATCTAATCCTTGACAATTTTCTCCCTGCCCCCCATCTTTCTCCCTGCCCCCCATCTTTCTCTCTGTCTGACCTGAATAGGACAATTGAGTTATGTTGGTCACCTAATTCCCTAAGAACACCAGGGACTCTAGTAGATATCTTGTCCAATATAGCCCTCATATGGCTGGACCTGGACCTCTGGCTAGATAATCATGTTTAAAACCAATTCCACTGATGTCTATATGCAACTCTAGCTGGCTCCACACTAGGCCAGGTTGGCTCTAGAAACCTGGGGACTAGCATTCACTCTACATCCAACTACTTTACTGGCAATACTTTACACTGCTGGGCTGGGGACTAGCATTCAACTTGACTCTACATCCAACTACTGTACTAGCAATACTTTACACTGCTGGGCTGGGGACTAGCATTCACTCTACATCCAACTACTTTACTGGCAATACTTTACACTGCTGGGCTGGGGACTAGCATTCAACTTGACTCTACATCCAACTACTTTACTGGCAATACTTTACACTGCTGGGCTGGGGACTAGCATTCAACTTGACTCTACATCCAACTACTGTACTAGCAATACTTTACACTGCTGGGCTGGGGACTAGCATTCAACTTGACTCTACATCCAACTACTGGCAATACTTTACACTGCTGGGCTGGGGACTAGCATTCAACTTGACTCTACATCCAACTACTGGCAATACTTTACACTGCTGGGCTGGGGACTAGCATTCACTCTACATCCAACTACTGGCAATACTTTACACTGCTGGGCTGGGGACTAGCATTCACTCTACATCCAACTACTTTACTGGCAATACTTTACACTGCTGGGCTGGGGACTAGCATTCACTCTACATCCAACTACTGGCAATACTTTACACTGCTGGGCTGGGGACAGGCATTCAACTTGACTCTACATCCAACTACTGGCAATACTTTACACTGCTGGGCTGGGGACAGGCATTCAACTTGACTCTACATCCAACTACTTTACTGGCAATACTTTACACTGCTGGGCTGGGGACTAGCATTCAACTTGACTCTACATCCAACTACTGGCAATACTTTACACTGCTGGGCTGGGGACTAGCATTCAACTTGACTCTACATCCAACTACTGGCAATACTTTACACTGCTGGGCTGGGGACTAGCATTCACTCTACATCCAACTACTGGCAATACTTTACACTGCTGGGCTGGGGACAGGCATTCAACTTGACTCTACATCCAACTACTTTACTGGCAATACTTTACACTGCTGGGCTGGGGACTAGCATTCAACTTGACTCTACATCCAACTACTGGCAATACTTTACACTGCTGGGCTGGGGACTAGCATTCAACTTGACTCTACATCCAGCTACTGTACTGGCAATACTTTACACTGCTGGGCTGGGGACTAGCATTCAACTTGACTCTACATCCAACTACTGGCAATACTTTACACTGCTGGGCTGGGGACTAGCATTCAACTTGACTCTACATCCAACTACTTTACTGGCAATACTTTACACTGCTGGGCTGGGGACTAGCATTCAACTTGACTCTACATCCAACTACTGTACTAGCAATACTTTACACTGCTGGGCTGGGGACTAGCATTCACTCTACATCCAACTACTGGCAATACTTTACACTGCTGGGCTGGGGACTAGCATTCAACTTGACTCTACATCCAACTACTGTACTGGCAATACTTTACACTGCTGGGCTGGGGACTAGCATTCACTCTACATCCAACTACTGGCAATACTTTACACTGCTGGGCTGGGGACTAGCATTCAACTTGACTCTACATCCAACTACTGTACTAGCAATACTTTACACTGCTGGGCTGGGGACTAGCATTCAACTTGACTCTACATCCAACTACTTTACTGGCAATACTTTACACTGCTGGGCTGGGGACTAGCATTCAACTTGACTCTACATCCAACTACTGGCAATACTTTACACTGCTGGGCTGGGGACTAGCATTCAACTCGACTCTACATCCAACTACTGTACTGGCAATACTTTACACTGCTGGGCTGGGGACTAGCATTCAACTTGACTCTACATCCAACTACTGGCAATACTTTACACTGCTGGGCTGGGGACTAGCATTCACTCTACATCCAACTTGCAATAGTTTACACTGCTGGGCTGGGGACTAGCATTCAACTTGACTCTACATCCAACTTGCAATAGTTTACACTGCTGGGCTGGGGACTAGCATTCAACTTGACTCTACATCCAACTACTGGCAATACTTTACACTGCTGGGCTGGGGACTAGCATTCAACTTGACTCTACATCCAACTACTGTACTGGCAATAGTTTACACTGCTGGGCTGGGGACTAGCATTCAACTTGACTCTACATCCAACTACTGTACTAGCAATACTTTACACTGCTGGGCTGGGGACTAGCATTCAACTTGACTCTACATCCAACTACTGTACTAGCAATACTTTACACTGCTGGGCTGGGGACTAGCATTCAACTTGACTCTACATCCAACTACTGGCAATACTTTACACTGCTGGGCTGGGGACTAGCATTCAACTTGACTCTACATCCAACTACTGTACTAGCAATACTTTACACTGCTGGGCTGGGGACTAGCATTCAACTTGACTCTACATCCAACTACTGTACTAGCAATACTTTACACTGCTGGGCTGGGGACTAGCATTCAACTTGACTCTACATCCAACTACTGTACTAGCAATACTTTACACTGCTGGGCTGGGGACTAGCATTCAACTTGACTCTACATCCAACTACTGTACTAGCAATACTTTACACTGCTGGGCTGGGGACTAGCATTCAACTTGACTCTACATCCAACTACTGTACTGGCAATACTTTACACTGCTGGGCTGGGGACTAGCATTCAACTTGACTCTACATCCAACTACTTTACTGGCAATAGTTTACACTGCTGGGCTGGGGACTAGCATTCAACTTGACTCTACATCCAACTACTGTACTGGCAATACTTTACACTGCTGGGCTGGGGACTAGCATTCACTCTACATCCAACTACTGTACTAGCAATACTTTACACTGCTGGGCTGGGGACTAGCATTCAACTTGACTCTACATCCAACTACTGGCAATACTTTACACTGCTGGGCTGGGGACTAGCATTCACTCTACATCCAACTACTGTACTGGCAATACTTTACACTGCTGGGCTGGGGACTAGCATTCACTCTACATCCAACTACTGGCAATACTTTA